TGTTCGTACCCTCGCGAGCGGCATGAGATACGTAGCGGTTACGAGTCGGGTCGCACTTCTCGGTCACATTCTCCACATTGCGTCACACTTCATTCTCTCGTAAGGGTCCGTTCTAATTATCGTAGACGAAGCGTTTTATTATATATTTATTATATATATTTTAATACAATAACCGCGATAGGATAAGGATCTTGAGTCTGCAATGGAACCGGGTGCTAAAAAAAACCGTAGTGCTACCATGCTATTTATACGCATACCTATTCATACCTAGGCAGCTCGGTGAACTCTGAACGTAGTTCCGCGTCGCTCAAGTTGCTTGACGACTACACAAAACACACAGGACACAGGTCTTGAACCGCAACACATCACAGCATCAAGAAATCATCTTGTTCCATGTCATACTCGGTTTGCCACGGCAGTGTCGGACAACTATTAGATAATTGTCAATTATCATTAGATGGGCTCGGCACAGCCGGTGATTAAAACCCTCCGTAGAAAACAAACTCGATGATCGCCTCGCTTGGAAATTTAATAAAAAAAGAAATTCTTTAGATTCGGCTCCCTTGGAAATCAGGCATCCTCGGCTGGAGGACGAAAAAACAGCGTATGGTCTTTCGTTGAACCATTCCAGCGCCCTAAACAGACGCCTCATATGGCGCAAATACTCTTAGACGATCGAAGACCACGTTACCGCTGGCCTCGTAGAATATGTTGGCGAATACATCTTCGACGCTCACATGTTTACTACAGACGGTTTTTGAAATTTGATCGTAGCTTACTGTTGCACATAATTTAAGCAAACGTGTGCAGATTCCCTCAGCTTAGAAGCTCTGAATAAATCCTGCAATCCATATGCGTTCAGAATTTGAGACACTTTATATATAAATCACTAATTTCGTATGTACAGTAGCGACCAAAAGTATTCGGCCAAACGCATTCACGATTTTTCGTTTATAACTTTTTTCTTACTGAAGCAAATCGTGCGAAATTCTGATATGTTTAACTGAAGCATATTCCACACCATCCAACCCTGTTTGAGGGCAAAGCACCAATATACACATAACTGAGAGCAGGGCGTTTTTTGCGGTAGCATACTTCGCTTAAACAAGGTTAGTGACGTCTGCAGTTATTCGCACCTTATGTGCCTCATTCTTCTCTACTAAGTTCGGCATTAGCGCTCGTACACTTAAGACATGGCCAAAAGGAAAGAAATCCAAGAAAGACTTATATCTCTCTTTCCAGTTAATTTTGTGTTCAGGCCCTTTGGGATATCTGGAACACGATCAGGTTGCAGGTTGATAGTGGTAAATATTCACAGTACAGCCATGCTACACATATTGAAATTTCGCACGATTAGATTCAGTAGGAAAAAAGTTACGACTGAAAAGTACAACTGAAGAAGCATTTCGCCAAGTACTTTTGAGCGCTACTGTATGTTTGTCGGGTTGTGGGTCTGTGTGAGCAAACCCCATTAGTATGATGAAAGTAGTGGTACGTGGAACCAACCCATTACGAATTCAGGTAGAACAGTCGGGAAATAGCTCGAAAGATAATTGTGGTATCCATTTCTCAACGATAAACTCAACCAACTCCCTAACTATGCGTCCTGCTATGAAGGGCTGGCGGGACGCGAACAAGAAGGACATTGCTGGAGTCGAGGTGACTGCAGAAGCTCTGATCGTGAGGAGAGAAGGAAATGGTTACGACCAATCAGAACAGTGGACAAAAACTCTACAACGGCGCGAGGTCAACTGGGGTAAAAAACGGTGAAATCATCGGAATTAGATGCGCCTTTCATCAGTTTTGAAGGAATTCGGTCAAAATAAAACAACAATCGAATCATTACTGTCCAAGTCATCCAAAGAATTGTATGTCCATACAATGTCTGAAGACCAGATGATATGATATCAAGTTTTTTGACTACCGAGATGATGTCATACCAATTTGCCAACATTTTACCAACTGAATGAGGTCTTGGTGTGGGGGATGCAAAAACAGATGAACTGTTGAAAAAACTACGGGAGGACATTGAGGTGGGGGGGGGGGGGGGGGGGGNAAGAGGAGGGACTCCTGGGAGTGTGAAGCCTGGAAGCTCCTCTACTGATAGTGCTCCACATATCAAATTCTGACGACTTGTAGAGGATATCACTGGTTCTGGTCTCGACCATGGCCAGTCAGGCTCTTGGTTAGGCCCTGATGCAATATGGAGCCAATCTGGAGGTGGCAGCATAAAGTGCAAAAACAGCAAATCCTCGGGAATCCGAACCATCAATCCAGCCCAGTCGTCCTAACTCGAAGTTCACATCGCTATCCATCACACCATCCTTCGCTGCTAAGAGTTCAACCGTGGAGAGCATATATGAAACTTGCCCCACTTTTCAACATCTTTCAACATGTGGCTCCCTTTTTTGGCTACCGCTCACTTTATTTTCAATGCACAGTCCAATGGCGCCTTCTACTGTGCGCACAGTCGATGCCGTGAATGAAACAAACGACGCTTAGGGGGTCAAAACGGCAATTTCTGACGAAATCATTTTCACTCATTTTTTCGCACTCAGAAGACCATTTAGCGGGAATGATCCATAGTTCTATACTCAGTGCTCATGCCCCTACACCATGCAAAAAACCATTTTCAAAAAGCGTCCAACGCCCTGAAAGACCTTCATTGTTTGAGACGCAGTAGCGACAGAAAAACTGGAGAGAACAGTCGTATCAACCCAACTAATAGCGCCACAAGCTGACCATTGAGATTCAGATTTCTAGCAAACTGCACTTGACCACCACTAGCGTTTGTTTATGCATCCATACATTAACCGGGACAACTCAAAAAATCAAGAAAGGATCTTGTAACTATTTCATTTCTCGTTTACCCCCTTACCATTGAGAAATACCTGTACTTCACTGAAAACTGAATAGGAATTTATGAACTTCGATCATTTATCCACACCCGTCGAAGTAGGCGTTAGATAACACACCATTCGACGATTTAGATGGCCAATATATTGCTTGATGAAATTTCATGCAAAAATCATGATAAGCAGGTCCATATCAATAGATTTCGCATACGCCCCGCCCTCAGGGCAGAGTCTGCACATGCCTGTTCCCAGATTGGCGCCTCCACAAACTGCAAATTTTTGAGCACGCCCGCCCCAGTGAGCGGAGTCTGCACCTACAGCCTGCCATTAATTTTCCTATCAGCCCACCTCTCCAAATTTGAACGCCCCAAGCCCAAATCACGTATTCTTTTCCCACCCCCCACCCTCAGTGGGCGGAGTCTACACATGCCACTTAATATTTGTATTGCAAAATTGCCACCTCCATGTCCACAAAATTTGAAGTCCCCAGATATAAATTGCAAATTTTCGCGCACACCCCTCCCTCAAGGACAAGTCTACACATGACACCTGCCATTAGTTTTCCTATCTTGCCACCTGCATCTACCAAATTTGAACGGCCAAAGTCCAAATATTTATGTTACCAAACTGACACCTGCATTTCTGCTAAACTCGAAGGACTCAGGTACAAATTATGCGAAGTGCTCGTAATACTACAGCAGAAAACCAATTTTGTCCTCATCATACTCCTAATCAATCTTAATCAGTTACAGTAAAGTAGTTGCTCCAACACATCAACTACATGGAGGAATTGAACCCTAAATTCGATTATTGCTAAAGTCAAGCGCACCACTTACAATCATAGTCGTAGTGTTCAAATACTGAATGCTAACTATCAACTGTGCCAAGCATACTTTGGGTGAGAGCTTCGATGCTGTTTCGAATTCGATCATGCCTCATTCGGAAATTTTATAAACAGCAATGTTATAACAACTCGGAAATATAAAGACGTTTTGAAGTTTTTACAAAAACGAGAGGATAGGGATTTTCACACCATGGACAGCTTTTTCAAATTGGAACAAACTTACAATGAGGATCTCATATCTTCCTGTCACATGAAAAAATGAGAGTAAGCCTTCAGCACTTTGAGGAGATATTAAAAGCTTATATAGACTTTTTGTATAACACGCTGTTTGTGTGTCCTATCTGAGAGGGGCATGGTCCATACATTTAAGAATGCTGTCCGCAATTTAGAATCGATGGAAAAGTTAACTGCATTGTTGAAGAAATACTGTGGACAATGTTTTATAGATCTGCATGCAATATGATTATCCGCTCATTCTTGAGATAAACTCCCTTTAAAAAGCCCTTTCATGAGGTAAATGTGGTGATGCTATGGGACATAAGAATCCACCTATAACTTGCTTCAAGTCTGTCCCCTATTGTTGAATTGAAGCGGCATCCAGTAGAAATGAATGTCGTCATGCACTGAGATTCCTATACTCATTTTATGATAACTTATCCTTCCAACTTGTCGGCTAATCTCCATGATAGACAGATCGGTCCACTTGTTTTGCACCTGATAGCTACAACCACATAAGACATCGTAAGTTGTCGATAATAGACTAATTCAAAAGCTCACAGCCTCTTACACTTCTCCTTAATTTCGATGGCACTCTGTCGTGATGATACAAGACATAATGACGCTTTTTTTCATTTACGAGGAAGTGCAGTTCTTTCAACACTCGAACTATAAACCGCAATGGGTTTACCTACCAGCCCCATGAAATCATGGGCCAAATCACAAAGTTGTAGGCTACGTTTCACTTTGGAACTTCCATAATCCCACAAACGTACGAGGTTTTGCTCGCGAGGTTATGGGTACATCGTTGCTGTTATGATCAGGCGACTGCAGAGGATCATTGTGATCGTCTGCGGTCGCCGTTGTATGCTATTGATTTACTCAGCTCGGTACAGCGGTGTAACACAATGAGGCATTGGTCCCGTAACATTGGTCCAAAATCGTTCAGCACATTTGAAATACAGATTCGAGATCAGCGTCTGAAAACTGCGGCGGTATATAATACATCTTATCTTGGATGGCCTATGCGACCTATCCTTCCCATGTTAGACTAAAGTTTTCCAGTTTGGAAGAATGCAAGCGGCATGTCACCCCTAACACAAAAACGTGGAGAGCTCGGTGGCCTGGCATCCAACTGGTTCCCTCCAAGCGGAGAATACGAAAAGTTTTGTGTTGACACCTGCTTAACGCAAGCTCTATGTGAACATGTGCCGCGTAAGTCACTCTTCCCCAACTATCAGGCGCATGACTTACAAACAATGGAAAATACCATTTTCAAAGGATAAGTGCATAATTCTCTGATACTGGGAAATAACACTATTTCCTATTTATTTATTTATTGGTACCCCCACCTCCCCACCCCCCCCCCACACCCCCACACCCTACCACTGGCCTCGAAGCGGCGAGGGGGCGAAATAGAAGGAAGTTTGGCTTCGATGTCATTGCCCTTAAAGTAACGGAAACCAAGGAAACACCATCGAGAAGACCAACGGCAACCACCTATCCGTTCTAGGAATGAAAGTTGATGGAAGAAACGTTGGCGGCATCAGTTTTCTAGTTCACCGTCGGATCGAACATCTGATCGACTCAACCGAGGTACTCGGCCCGCGAGTGACCGCTCTCTGCCTACGCATCGACAAGCGCACCACCGTCAGCATTATTAACTGCTATGCGACAATGTCGACAGCAGCCGGCGGAGAAAAGAACGTCATCTATGAGAAACTGGAGAAAGTGGATGAAGACTTCAACGCAATCATCCACGAAGAAAGACCGGCGACAGCACGCACTGGACCACAAGGGGAGAACAATTGATGGACCTTTCAGAGGCATGAAGTCTACTTCACGGAAACAGCTTCTTCGTGAAAAGCGAGGGCCGACGTTGGATATGGGAGAGCCACAGTGCAGTGACTCGCAGTGAAATCGACCACGTCCTCACCAGCACGAAGTGAAGTCTGCTAGACGTCAGTGTGGTAGATGCGTTCCGCACCGGAAGTGGCTATAGGCTCTTCAGAGCCAAAGTCCACCTACGAGCGAAACTTCGACGACGAGACCACTTCCGGCCTCCCTTCATATGACTACCGCAGTATGACACAAATGCCATAGAGGTGGCCGCTGCTCAGTACACGTGGCAAGAGGCACAGGATTTGCCATAAGATTACGACTTGCTCGTACAAGGACTTCTACACTGCACAACGGCATCGGCAGTGTCAGCAAGGGTCAACTCGAGGAGCAGGATCGATGGAAATGCCCGCACACTCCTCCAACAACGGGCTACCGTTTACCGTAACTCTGCATCCACACCACTATAACATGCGTCGATCTAAAAAATGTGCTGCATCGCTGTGAGAGTCGAAACAGCGTTACAAAGACACTAGACTAAAGGAAGCAGCAGAGGCGAGAGCAAGTCTTAAACGATGTCGTAAGGGCTTTAATGACTTTCGCTCAGTCATCACGGTTATGAGAGACGCGATGGGCAGACCGCAGACATCGAGAGCGAAGATCGAGGAGACTGCCGTCACCTACTACACGAACCTCCTTCGCTCGACGATACCGGTTTCCCGTATCCCTACGCCAACACAAAAGTTGGCTCCACGGATAGAAGAATGGGAGGTACCTAGACGCTCAGAGAATTCCGGACCAGCGGAAGGTGTGAAATACGGTTCGGTTTCTCAATGGTTCTTAGTTTACTAAGATTATTCTAAACAGACTCGAGAGGCAACTGAATGACTACTAACCAGTCGAACAAAATGGTTGAGGCAAGGGCTTCTGTTGTATGGATCATGTCCACACTATCACGCGGCTGATTGAGCGGATCAAGGGATAGAGACAACCACTCCTTTTCTACTTTATCGGGCATGCAAAGGCATTCGACAGAGTGGAGCTCAATCTGTTTAGAACGCGTTGCACCATGCAGGAGTCAACCTATGCTACCACAACCTGGAACAATGCAATACAGACATTCCGCATGTTCCAACGAGAGCTTCGCGTGAAGATTGAGAAAGGAGTCAGGTAGAGTGACACCATATATCCAGAACTATTCACTATCGCACTCAACCATGCGATGCTGCAACTGGACTGGGACGATGAAGGCATCCACATCGACAGCAAAAAATTATCCAACTTGCGCTCTGCAGACGATATCGTCCTCATAAGCCAAAACCAAGAGGAGCTGCAGAGATGGTGGAGGAGTTGGACGACGTCAGCAAAGCCATTAGCCTCACGATGAACTGAAGCAAGACAGTGGTCATGCTAAACGAATGGGTGGATGCGTCACCCCACGCTGCGGTTCACCGACTCCTTTGTGTACCTCGGCCGACTCATCTCTATGGACAACAACTTGCGTGCAGACTATGAGGCGCAAAGGATGCGCGTGGGCGGCAATGGGAAACATCAAAGAAGCGGCTCAACTCGTATCGGACAAGAAAACACGAGATGACACCCTCGACTCTACGGTATTGCCCGCACTCTGTTACGCATCCGAGACGTGGGCGGAGATCAAGATGTCAACGCTATGTTGATTCGCGCACAAAGAGCACTGGAGACCGACGTTGTTGAAGATCAACCGCGGAGTGCAGAGAAGTCTCAACCTCCTCAGCGCAGATATGCACTAAATGTTCGGCATTCATGACGCAGAAGTGTATGCGTGGTACGCAAAGAAACGATGAGGACACGTGGAAGCACGGACGACCGGTGGACCACTCGCGTCACATTCTGGTACCCACGTGAGATAAAGCATCCTGCAACGAGTCTGAGTGACTCACTAAAAAAAACTTCAGAGAAATGCTGGCCAACAATGGTCCCAAACCACTCAAGATCGTCAAAAATGGAGGGAGGCGTGTGCTCGCCGCTGAGGATTATCAACCTACAACGAGCGTCCAATATCCAAGTAAGTAAATAAGTATTCATTTGGACATTTTGAGACTCAGCATGTAGAAGAGAACTATAACATAACTCTCTTGCAACATCTACAACTGGCATAAGAGAGGATCAGATCAAATCATTGACACCTATTTTAAATGTAGCATACTTCAACGGATACAGATTTGAGCACAGAATAGAATTGGAACATGTACGAACTCTACGCAGATTTGAGCACAGAATCGAATTGGAACATGTACGAACTTTTGACTGAAAAAACCTCGACCTGCATTGAGTCTTGGAAGTTGAGTGAATGGTTGTGCAGTAGCTGTTTCATTGAATTAACCGCCGTCAATCGAAATTGACGCTCTGGCTAATTCATACATTTGGAAAAAAGATATTGAAACGATTAGTACAACCTGCCTGGTAACGCTACGGTCAAACTGTTTTGAGTTTAGTTTAAAAGAGAAATCTATCCAATGTATAACAGAGAGAAAGTAAAGCAGATCCTCCATCATTCATCAATTTTTGGATATTGAGGGTGAGCATTCTATCTACATTCTAAAAGACGTATTTTCTAGACTCTGACTTTTTGAATTTAAGTCACTTTAAAGTGCGTTTCTCGCTTCAATTGAAGGTTAAATTACCCTAAAATTCCATAGATAAGAGCGGGTGAGCCTACCGGTGAAAAATGAATTGGAAAAAATCAAAATTGAATGCAGTCACTCCTCTAACTTGATGGATGGATAAATTAAACTTCGAAGAAGAAGTTAAGAAGAAGCTCCGCCCCTCAGCTCTAAACCCCGCGCACTTAATAAACAATTCATATAGAAAAAACAGCGATCCGTAAAAATCGCTGTTTTTCTACATAAATTGTTTATTAAGTGGGCGGGGTTTAGAGTTGAGGGGCGGGGCTTCTTCTTAACTTCTTCTTCGACGTTTAATTTATCCATCCATCAAGTTAGAGGGGTGACTGCATTCAATTTCGATTTTTTCCAATTCATTTTTCACCGGTAGGCTCACCCGCTCTTATCTATGGAATTTTAGGGTAGTTACGTTCCCAGAAAATGCGTTTTTTAGGGCAAATATACCAAGGACAAGAGACGAATTTGCACGAGTATCTTCTTCCACTTTATGCAAAGCGGAAAAGCTGCCGAAATTTTGCAGCGACGATGAGGCCCTCGAAGATGAGCACAGTCGTCGGCAGCCTGATCAAGAAATCAATTAATTGAGAACCTATGTCATAGCCAAACCTAGCACAGGCTAACCCTCGCAGAAGATTGGTAAGTCGCAAGTCATTGGTGACGCAGGAACCGTCGTCTCGAGGTGTCGCATGCACTACTTCATTGTAGCAAACCGGTTCGTCTCTTAATTGTCAGTGACGCACGATGGAAAGTGGGCCGCGAGCGCGGGCGAACGAATGAAGCTCCCAAATATCTTCATATCCAAAGTTGTGCCAAAAGATTATGGCGTTCGTTCGGCGGTCCGCAGCAGGTCTCACCCATCATACCATCCTAAACCCGGCGTGAATGTTAGAGCGGAGAAGTATAGCAACCGCGGATATACTCAGGAAACTGCTGCGCATGCATCAGTCATTGGACAACAGAAATGCACCAATCCTACTCTGCAACGCTCGGCCACACGTCACACATTTACCCCTGCGCAAATTTATCGAGTTGTTCAACGAGACTGCGTCATCCACGACAATTGGCGGACCTCCCGCATACCACTTTTCCAAGAATCTCGACAAGTTTCAGTTCGTGTGTGTGTGAAGACGGAGACGAGGGGGAGAATGATTTATTGCTCACTACCATCCCTTTTATACACTCTCTCTAATAATCAGTCTACTATTTCCCTCACTTCTTCATTCTTCACTTCCTCACGTTATCACACCCCTCTACACCTCCCCCTAGTGTCCCCTACGGTCACTACATGTACCAGAAGCGTACCTTACGGTGTGAGGAGGTTCAACCTTCTGTCACCTCCTCCTCACCCACTGTTCTTCTTACACCAACAGTATTTCAACATGTTTATTATTTATCTCAAACAACATCACCCCTCACTGAGGGTCATCTCTCATGGCCTCACGGCCTGGATCCGCGCTTCGCGATCGTCGCCGCACCGACCGACTGCGGCTTCTTGCTTGTCTTCTTGATGAGCGACTGTAGCTCCTCGAACGTGTTCTTGCCGGGCGGCTGCGGCTTCTTCCCTCTCTTCTTGAAGATCGGCTGTAGCTTCTTCTGCGGAGGTCCCGCTGTATGCCCTCCAGCGCCGCCCACAGCGCCCTACCACGGCGCTGCGGACGACGCCTCGGCCTCTTCGCTGCCGCCACTTGTGGTCCCGACGGGGCCCACACCATCGGCATCACCGCGGGTGCCGAGGGCGGCCCCGTCGCCGCCACTCCATTGCTTCCAGTCGGGAATACGAAGATTGGGGGGCTCGCCCGACAACCGGTCTACTTCAACATCTCCAACCATATCAGCGGCTGTATATCAGTGCTAATCCATTGGGGTTTCCCCGCGTGAGTTCGAATCTCATCCTGATCGCCAGTTCGTGTGTGAGTGAAGACGGAGACGAGGGGGAGAATGATTTATTGCTCACTACCATCCCTTTTATACACTCTCTCTAATAATCAGTCTACTATTTCCCTCACTTCTTCGTTCTTCACTTCCTCACGTTATCACACCCCTCTACAGTTTCTTCGCCAAAAATGCTTCAGAAACCGGAGAATGTTCAAACGACTTTCAAAGACTGACACGTCCAGGACTTATGAGTTCATATACTGAAGTAAATACGTTTCTATGAAGAGAAAAGTAGTAACTCCAATGTTTTTCAACTTGATTGGAAAGCTTCCTTTAAAACTGATATGCTTTTTTGCAATCAACGTTCAAAAACAGAGGAACATCCTTGACATTCTGATAAACAGAGTCATCGCATTGGCCAGAATTGAACCATTCAACTTCTCTCTCGAAGTACTTGGTTTTAATACACAAAAAGTAGATTGATCAATTGTACAGTCGCAGGAGCGTACAAACACCACCATTTTTTCTCTTCAGGCAATGTATTAACTGTCACATACCCATGGTTCAGTGTCTTTCTCCCAGCCGAATTATAGGGATTATGTTCACATATCACACTTCGAGTCATATGAACAGATGCCTCATTAATTTTGATGAATGTTCGATCCTGAAACTGCGTCCACTCAGGTTCTTCCACATGCTGAAGTAACGAGCAAACTTCGAACATGCAAGTACATGAAACAAAGCTGGGAGCATGTTCGTTCGACTAACCTTCGCGTTTTTACTGTTTTTGTAATACCAGAAGACGAATACGGCTACCACAATCAAAAACACGCATACAAGCAGCATCACAAGTAGGGCGAACCACGACTGACGTGATAACGAGAACAAAAATGATTCCTGTTCACTGTGTAGGCTCAAATGCTTGTCAAGAGTCTCTTGATCTGAAAATATGTGGCCGTGAATAAATGCGATGTTATAATTGTTCAAGTGTTTCGTAGGGCAATTGAGTTGTGGTAGCTGCTGCTTGATAATCACGTCCACTTTTCCAAAAAATACTTTTGTTACTCAAATCATGAGTTTCCAAGGACCGTATCAGGAATGAGGTGGTGGAGACACTGTTTAACTCCTCTATAATAGAAGTGGTACTCAACACTCACTCATAGTAACAGTATCCGTGCTATGACTTACGCCAATACCAGCGTTGGTGCGCGCGGCGACTCGGATTTTGTACGTCATGCCAGGAACCAAATGGAACAGCGTCACGCTAGCCGCTCGCTCGTTTGTTGTAATATTCCGATGGAATTTGCTGCCTTTTCCCAAGATGACTATCTGAAGAAACAAGCCAAGTTCTTCACGAAGTTCCTCAAAAAACAATTAGAAACTAAGAAAAAGGGAGTAAGCCCAAAAGTCCATCTGTGTGCATAAGACACTGATCATAGCGCAATTTTCCAAACACTGTTGAGGAAAGCAAAAGCCGCTCAGTACTATTTGCCTTCAAGGCCAATTATTCAACTCGTCTTCGAAATTGGAAATATGTGATCGCACATCACACCGATATGCTGTCAACTGTTATTCGAATAAACGTTTTAATCTTGAAAGTCTCTTAAGGATTTTGCGAAATACATAGAAGAGTACAAAGTTAGCCAGCCTCAGCTAGAATCGATCAAGAGGTTCGCTCGAATATAAACCGCAGTTTTCCACCGTGCCACTCCAATTTTACAAAACAATGGAGGAACATGATCATACAATATACATTTTGATATATGTACCAAAGATAACCACTAATCAAGCCCGCAAGCTGAGAGCTGAGAAACATAATTTTCCTACGACTACTAATAAAATGCAATGAAATAGAGAAAACTAAGGGATTCGAAAGATGTAACACACCTGAAAACCTTTAAGGATTCCATTAATGCCGTCAGCTGATGGTGCTCTCCAACTAATACGAAGAGTAGTGAGATTCAACATTCGAATATGCACGTCCGAAGGTGGTAATGAAGGTGCTGAGCGCATTCCATTACAAATCAATCAAGAGAGATAAAAAACCAATAAGACGGGCTCATAGTGAAAGTTAAAAGTGAGGCAAACATACTCAGCACTTGTCACTGCTATAACAGGTTTCACACCCGCGAAAATTGTTCCTGTACACATTATAAGGGAACTCATGAAGATGCCCTGATTTTGGATTCGTTACAAGTTCATTAAAAGTTGTATACGATTCGCACTCTAACATAAATGTGTATCGATTCTGTACCAATTTCCCTTTTTTATTTCGTTCAAAAAAGAGGAATCGAATGCATTACTTTCTGATAAGAGTAAGCTCACGAGCTTCAGCTGTCAAAGCGTCCATAGAGTTACTCGGAGCACCCTGAATTGACTTGTGATAGGGAATGACGAAGAACTCGTAATTAGTGAAAGGCAACAGGCCGTTGACCAAGTATGACTCAACATGGGCACCATTCACATTTACCCACCTGGAATTGATCGAACAAGTTAATGATCGAAAAAGCGTTGAGGAAATATTAATGTAGAGACTTACTGGTTGATGTTATTTTTGGCCGGACCACGCCATTTGACGTAGTATCCCTCAACCATGTTCTCAATTTTTTTGCGCTTCCAGAACAACCTAACCGCCGTCGAGTTGATGGTTTTAACTTCCTCAAGTTTGACGAGCTGTTCCGCAGTCATTCGCTTCACTGCTTGTTCGAAATCCATATTTTCCAGATCTTCCGCCGACACTGGAAAATAGTATATTTTTCAGATGAAAAAGCATCATGGTAGGGATGTTGTCTGAAAACCAGCCCGTAAGGAGAGTTCCTGAAAAAGCCGCTCTATGTCGAAAGTCTGACTAGCCTGACACCTGGTAATTAGATCTACTAGAGTGGCGAACAAGTTGTCCCATTTAATGATCCTACTGAAGTACAGGCTTAAATGTATTACCATCGCTGCCGACTATTTCTTGCCACATTTGAGCGCTTTTGAATTTCCTCCGAAACGGAGGCTAGTGAAGAAAGCCGTCAATGCAATTCCGACTTGTGAGCGTGTCATGCTTTTCCCGTCCAAGTAACGAGTTCCACCTTCTTATGACGTGCGGTGCGGCGTTATCACGCTAGATCTAGACTTTGCGAACAATTCCTTCCCGCTGATCGTCGATCCGTTTCTGACTACATGGCTGCTGTGGCCGGATATTGGCAGTGGATATACATCCCTTTTCGAGCAAATGTCAGTGCTCTAGCATACGTACATCCCATCAAAGTCAAATATCACCTTCATGAGTTTAACATCTTTCGCACTTCACTTCGGTATTTCACTTACTTACTGTGCTCTCCTGCGGAGGTTGTTGCAGGAGATCCGCTTCATCGCTAATGATGAGATTTTCCAGCCACCCTTTTCCTTCGCGCTAATTGAGCGGAGTAATGCAGGCATTTAGGTGACGACGATGCACGGAATTGAGATGAAGCCACTTACATCGCCCCACCTTTCTCAATTTCGGTTCTTTCATACCCAGTTTCAGTAGTGAAACTGTAGTCTCAATTGTGTTCATCATCCCTCGTAGAATGGATTGGATCCGTTTTCAATACATGACGTAACATACTCAAGTTAAGCTTAAACGGGTGTTCTTCCGTCTCCAGTAACGTAATGACCCATTCCGAGTATTTTTACCAGTGGGCAACTCTTACTATGTGTGTTAGGTGATCAAAAAGTTTTTATATGGTTTTTTGAAAGTTCCTGAACTTTCGATTATTAATCATTACCAGTGATGTACCATGGGGTAGCGGTAGAACATTCTAGAATGACCTAAGGAATGAGTATATATAGAAGCGCTTCCTTCCTTAGCTAAAATCACTATGTCAATTCAACGAGTCCATGTTCAAATATATCATCTTCTACAAGTGGCGTCGCGGCACCGGAGTGACGGCAACGGTTCGCAAAATCAGCAGCGAATGGGGAACGACGCCACCTCCATCGCTACGGCCCATCGCTGGTTCGCTCGCTTCAAGGAAGGAGACCTGGGTTTTGAAGAAAAGCCTTGGTCGGGAAGACTCCGTCATTCTCGATACAGTCAAATCCGGAAGTAAACACACGCAGTCTTGCGAGGAGGCTTAAGTGTGCCCAATTAACAGTCGTCGGTCGCCTTCCCTCTGTTACAGACAAGCGCTGCTCGATGGGTACCTCATGTCTTGACCGAAAGCATGCGGTATACCCGGGTATCCATGTACCAGTCGCTCCTTCTCCGCCTTCTTCATAAGGAGTTTCTGGAGGACCTAGTCGCGGATATGAAAGTTGGATCCTCTACGACGCTAACAAGCACTGCGCCGGTTGGCTTCCGCGACAATTCCCGCCGACGAAAGCCAAATCCGACCTCCACCCCAAAAAGTTCCTCTTTCGCTGCTTCTGGCATTCAGAAGGAATACTGTACTACTCAAGAAAGGTTGATCAGCTGCAGGAACTTGCGGAAACCGTCCGAGAAAAACGACATAGCCGAACTTTTGTGCACCTCCTGCATGATAACTCTGGGCCCCACATAGGTAAAGAAACCCGTGCGAAACTCTGGGAGCTAGGCTGGGACACGGTACTACATCCACCCCGTTCATCTGATATTATATGTCTGATGTTATATGTATGTGTGCATATATGTATGTATATATGCATGTATGTATGTATATATGTATGTATGTATG